TGTGTGTGTGTGTGTCTTAAATAAAATATTTTAAAAGTTAAGGACTTCAAGGGAACAAAGGAAATTGCAAAGAACGAACAGTCTCTGCCAGGCCAGGAAATACCCTAACCATATCAGAGGCAATAAATCAATGGTAAAATTCCCCATGCTGTTTGAAGAGTAAAGATGGGCCTAACACATATTCTTGAGTTGTTTTTGCAGGATTGAAACTGTGTCGCATAGGTTAACGAGTTTAAAACTAGCAGAAAATGGAAAACTTATTTTTCAGAGAACTATTTCTCCCTGGTCAACTATTGTTTATTTTCAGATCCACTAATAATATGTTCTGTCTCTGCAGAAGTCTGGACGCAGGGTCAACTGATTAGGTTTCAGCCCTATAAACAAGCCAGGCCCTGCATGCCTTACGTGAGCCCAGGAGCCCATCCAGGTTACATCTGCTCTCAGAGCACATCACCTTCTATTACAGGGGTCTTGAAACTATATTTTCCAGATTCACTTGCCTCCAGGGTCCTGTGTTTAATCTATATTTTGCTAATAAAATATACTCACCATGCTTTGGTGAGATGAAAGAGGTTCTTCCTCTGCCAACAGCGGTATGCAGGCTTAAGCAGATGTGAGTTTTCTCAAGGGTTGACAGAACTCTGCATTCCACTGCTTTTAAGCAGATGCAAGGAATTTGTGACTTTGGCAGTGGTTTCCTGACTTGTGGGTGTTATTGGAAACTTTCTGACCTCTGGATTAAGGTATGTGATGACCAGAGCCAAAGGCAGACACTCAACCAACTGAACCACCCAGGTGCCCCTTTTTGGTTCTTATCTTAAAAAAAAAAAAAAAAAAAAAAAAACTTTAGGTCCAAGACAATTCAAAGGGGAAAGAATAGCCTTTTTAGCAATGGGATAAACACATGCAAAGGAATGAAATTGGACCCCTACCTCATACTGTCTTCGAAAGTTAAATCAAAATATATCGTAGACCTAAATGTAAGAGCTAAACTATAAAGGTTTAAGATTTACGTAAGTGTAAATAAATCTTCATGACCTTGGATTAGGCAGTGGTTTCATAGATAACGAGAAGCAACAACCAACCAAGGGGAAAATACAAGTTGTGCTTCTCAAGATTAAAAACTTCTGTGCTTCAAAGGACACCATCAAGAAAGTGAAAATACAACCCACAGAATGGGAGAAGATATTTGCAAATTGCATAACTAATAAGGATCAAGTACCCAAAATATTTAAATAACTCTTAACAATTCAACAGCAGAAAGACCCTAGTAACCCAATTTTAAAATGGGCAAAGCATCTGCATAGACATTTCTGTAAAAGAAAGGTACAAATGCTAACAATCATATGAAAAGGTGCTCAACATTGTTAATCATTAGGGAAATGCAAATCAAAACCACAATGAGTGCAGTGCCTGGGTGGCTAAGTCAGTTGAGCGTCCAACTCTTGGTTTTGATTCAAGTCATGATCTCGTGGGTCATGAGATGGAGCTCCACATCGGGCTCTGTGCTCACTGGGAAGTCTGCCTGAAAATTCTCTCCCTCTGACCCTCCTCCCACTCTCTCTCTCTCTAATAAATAAAAAAAAAAATCACAGTGAGATACAATTTTAACCCACTAGAAAGTCTAGAATGAAAAAGATGTAACAAGTGTTGACAAAGATGTGGAGAAACTGGAATCCTCATACACTGGAGTAGGAAGTAAAACATACAGCTGATGTGGAAAACAGTTTGACAGTTACTCAAAAAGTTAAACATAGTTCTCTATGATCCAGCAATTCTGCTCATCCATATATACCCAAGAGAATTGAAAACTTAGATCTACACAAAAAATTGAACACAAATGTTCATAGTAGCATTATTCATAATAGCCAAAGAGTGAAGTGTCTTTTTTTTTGTGAGATGTCTGTTCCCAGCTGTGACTTTTTACCTTAGACTAATTCTTTCAAATCACATTGTTCTTTATACTGTCCAGTATAAATGGAATACTTTTATAGGATGCAAATACAAAAGGAAGGAAGTACGTGTCCTGGCTTTAACCAGTGAGAGGAGCAGAAATTATCCCTGGCCATCAACAGGAGATAGATTTGGAGACTGAATTGCACTTTAAAAGACTTTATTAACCAACTACTTTTTATTTCTTAATTTTTTTTTAGAGAGGGAGGGAACTAGGGCAGAGGCAAAGGAAGAGAGAGAATCTTAAGCAGGCTCCATGACCAGTGTGGAGCCCAACACCGGGCTTGATCTCCCAACCCTGAGAGTATGACCTGAGCCAAAACCAGGAGATGGACACTTAACCAACTGAGCCAGCCAGGCACCACTCAACTACTTTTAAAACTGAACATTCTATCATAAGCATTTTCCTAATCATTAAAAGCATTTGCATAAGGAAATTACAGAAGTGTAATATACATGCAGAAACTTGCACTCAAGTTAATCATATAATCATCACAGCATTACTTATCATAAAACATGGTCAGCATTAGGAGAATTAACACCTAAGTATACGGTTTGAAGGATTTTCATAAACTGAACACATACCTCCACGTGGTTAACTCCTCAGAGGTGCCTCTATACAAGCACTGATTTTTTTTAAAACAAGATTTTATTTATTTGACACAGAGAGATCACAAGTAGGCAGAGAGTCAGGCAGAGAGAGGGGGGAGGAGAATCAGGCTCCCCGACGAGCAGAGAGCCCAATGCAGGGCTCGATCCCAGGACCCTGAGAACTTGACCTGAGCCGAAGGCAGAGGCTCAACCCACTGAGCCACCCAGGCGCCCCTGATTTTTTTTTTTTTAAAGAAAGATTGTATTTATTTATTTGAGAGAGAGAGAACATGAGCGGAAGGAGTGGCAGACGGAGAAGCAGGCTCCCTGCTGAGCAGGGACTCTGACGCAGGGCTCCGTCCTAGGACCCTGAGATCATGACCTGAGCTAAAGTTGGACATTTAACTGACTGAACCACCCAGGTGCCCCCAAGCATTGATTTTTAAAAGCTCTATTATAGTCTATTGTAATTCTAATGCTGACCTTTTTTTCTTTTTTTTTTTTAATGGCAAGTAATGCTGTGATGATTGTTTTTTTTCCTCCCAACGCACAACGCCACCACAACGCCACCCCCGCCATCCCACTTGCCCCTCTGGGTTGGACTCTAAGGATAGTCCTTCCAGTGACTTGCTTGTAATGGTCTTAGAGTACTTTACCACCCCCTTGGCTATCAACTGTTTCCCCTTGATTATCCCCAATCCTGGAAAGCCCTGTTTGTCCATACTGTCTCCTCTGGGCTATTGAGTGTGGTGAGAGAAAGTCTGGACCATGTGGGTTAAGTCTACTACAAATTCATGCCGCCTGTTCAAGGCCCTCACTGCCTGCTGCAGTGTGTTCTGTGTGTGTAGGTTGGGCTGTTTGTCTGCCTTCATGCTCGTGAGTGATATTGACATACCTTTCTAAGTGATCACTTCTAACTTAGTATTACCTTTGCCAAGCCTTTTTTTTTTTTTTTTTTAAGATTTTATTTATTTTTTTGACAGACAGATCAGGCAGGCAGAGAGTGAGAAGGGAGGAAGCAGGCTCCCTGCTGAGCAGAGAGCCCGACGCAGGGCTCGATCCCAGGACCCTGGGATCATGACCCTAGCAGAAGGCAGAGGCTTTAACCCACTGAGCCACCCAGGCGCCCTATCTTTGCCAAGTCTTAAAGAGTAGAAGCTCACTTGCAATTTTATATTTTGAAAAGAATGCAGATGGTTGGTTTTGGAAGCTTCGATGCTCGTGCCATGCTTCCTGCGGTGGGGCAGATAGGGTAAGTGAATGACTTTAAATGGGACACAAAGAAACTTTGTACGTGTTTCTTTAGTGAGTGTGAGAGTGAAATATAGTGAATCCACTAAACTCAGTGTTCAGCGATGCCATGGCTTAGAAAGAGGACAAGTTTTTAAAAGTAAGCTGAGCTAAAGTTAAAGAAAAACTAATTATGGGGCGCCTGGGGGGCTCAGTTGGTTGAGCATCTGCCTTCCGTTTAGGTCATGATCCCAGGGTCCTGGGATTGAGTCTGGAGTCGGGCTCCTTGCTCAATGAGGAACCTGCTTCTCCCTCTCTCTGTCAAACAAATAAATAAATCTTTTTAAAAAATAAGAATAAAAGAGAGAGAGAGAGAGAGAAACTGTAATGATGTGACGGGCGGGGCAGCCAGCAGGCAGAGGCGCTATGACAGCGACCCACGGGATCACACAGTTTCACTACCCCTCAGCAGTCTTCACAGCTTTCTCTCGGGGCCCTCCCAGAGGGAGAAACAGAGAGTTATGAAGGCTATGCCAAGAAAAGGGAACCAGACCCTCAACATCGTACTAAAATAGGACTTACTGCTTGTTTTTGGCCTCTTCATGTGACATATCTCATAGGTCAGTTTTGTGCCTGTTATGTAAGTGGTTATCATGGCTCAGCCAGATTTTCAGCATATTAACATATTCGGAGATCATAGCAGCCTTTCCATTTTGAGACCAAAATTTTCAGATTACCTCTAGATGAGAATGCGTCTCTAGTTCGTGGAACACGCCAATACGAGAATCTGATTTAGAGCTTTTTAAAAGTCATCTCCACATCCCACATGGGACTAGAACTCACGATCCCCAGATCAAGAGTCACACCCTCTACTGAGTGAGTCTGCCAGGTGGCTGCCCCTGATTAAGATTTCTGTTGTTCTTGTCTGGCTAAACTCGCCATCCAGGATCAAGTGGAACTGTTGGAAATTTGGGTGTCCAGCATTTACCACTTGCCTTTTGGGTGGCAGTACCTTCTGGTTTTACCTATCACCTTTCCTTGCTTCCATGCCCAAACTGTAAGTCCTAAGGGAAGAAACCACGTCTTTTTTTTTTTTTTTTTTTTAATCTTCAGTACCAGTACTATAGCTTGTGAAAATAGGTACACAAATTTCTACGGGCAGACACCAGGAATATACACCCAGTACTTGAAAACAAAACAAAACAAAACAAAAACCTAGTATGGAAGAGTTCAAGCCTAGGTCTCATCAACACACCATCTGGCACTTTCTCAACTCTGTTTCGTGGATGTATAAGCTGAAGGCGGGAGAGAAGCTATCAGTTAAATGTCTTCTTTCTCTTTCCCAATAGAAAAAGCAAAATGCAGTACACCAGGGGGAAGACACTGTTGTAGGAATTACACAGCAGCCAGAGGGAGGAGAGGCTCCGGGCCTCCACGGCCAGCATTATATAAGCAATGATGAGCTGGGTGTGGGCCCAAGTGAGCGCTCGATAGAGCAGGTGCATTGGCCAGGATCTGATAAACAAGCCCGCAGAAGTGTGAATCAAGTAATCGGCCTCCACCATCAGAGCCCAGCACAGGAAACCGAACACCTGTCCTGGATGGAGCCCATGCCACCAGGCCGAGAAGGCAAAGGTCTGCAGCAGCGGCCAGGCCCCGCCGTGCTGGAACACGAGGCGTCGGAGCCACCGCGCTGTGCTTTGGTTCCACTTTCTCGTGAACAGGGAGATCCTGTGGGTCGTTTCCAGTGTCCAGATGTCCGCATCGGGGACGTAGCCCTCCTCACTGGGGCTGTGACCAAACCCAGGTCCAAAGCCCGCGGCGTGGAGGAGGGCGTCATCCAGGATCCAGCAAGAGTAGTAGGTGAGTTTGAAGAACCCGGCTGTGGACCACATGACTCGAATACACTCTAGCTGCTGGCAGTCAGCCAGACCTGCTCCTGCTCTCACCACCTTCCCCAAGACCACCTTTAGGCACTCGAGGCCCAGGATCTGCAGACCCCTCTGGCTCAGAGCCCAGATGGAGCGCCTGGGACTCAAAGTGCCAGACCCTTGAACACGAGCCTGGAATTTCTGGAAGGAACACAGGGGCCCTCCTAGGAGAGCAGGGAAAAAGAGCAAGTAGCTGATATAGGGCAGCGCCTCACACAGATGCTCAGACAACGAGCTTCTTTCCCCGATGCCTCTTGATGCTGCCTTCACTTTTCCCTCACGGATATCCAGAGAGAGGGATGTGACCCTCTGGGTCAATAGCATGAGGGAAGAAAGAGTGATGCAGAACCTGAAAGAGATTTATTTCAAATGTAAAGACGCTCCACAATTTATTTCATCCCATTCCAGTCCCTCACACACGACCCCACAGCGAACAGCAGCCCTGAACAATGGAGACTGATGTTCAGCCCTGCGGTGTCCCCACAAAGATTCTTGTTTTTTTTTTTTTAAGATTTTATTTATTTATTTGACAGACAGAGATCACAAGCAAGCAGAGAGGCAGGGGGGTGGGTGGGAAGCAGGCTCCCTGCTGAGCAGAGAGCCCAATGCAGGGCTCTATCCAAGGACCCTGAGATCATGACCTGAGCTGAAGGCAGAGGCTTAACCCACTGAGCCACCCAGGAGCCCCACAAAGATTCTTGAGTTACTTCTCACCACAGGCTGCTCTGGTTAGGATCAAAGGGTAAATGGGGAAATGAATCATTAGAGAGGCAACTAGAAAAATGACAAGGGATATTGTGGGGGAAATATTATTAGTATATTTCTGGGAATGGCTTCTATAGACTAGGATCCGGGACCTGGGAGAAATTTGCCACAGAAGGGACACAAATTTAGCATTCAAGAGATTATAGGAAGGCGAAGATTTTAAATAAGAACCGGTCCTTGTCAATAAGATTCTGCAGGCTTTGGCCCCTGTGCTCAGGAACGGTGAGTCAATCTTGGGGTTTAGGGTGTGCACTGAGTCATTAGCAATTTGAGGTGTGTTCTTAACCAGTCACCTGAACTGCTCCTGCTTCAGTGTCACTAGGTAGAGAAGATCCTGCCGACAAGGTTTTTATGGAGAAGAGTAATGAAAATTACATGATGCCCTCTACAATCAGGAATGCTGTCCTGTGGAGAGAAAATGGCACTGTTTCCCACATTTCCCACAGTTTCTCTCTGTGAGTCTGAGGATTTAAGGACAACTGACCTTCCCTGACAGATCCAAACAGTAGGCAAAGTAGCCTCCAAACGCCACCAACCCCTGTTTGTACACCTGCTATTGTGGGCTGAATGTGTTTCCCCCAGATTCATGTGTTGAAGCCCTAACCTCCAGTGCCTCAGAATGTGACTGCGTTTGGAGACAGAGTAAGTTAAAATGAGGTCACTGGGGTGAGCCCTAACCCAGTATGACAGGCATTCTTATAAGAAGAGGAGATTAGGACACAGACACACAGACACACACACACACATACATACACACACACACACACAGGGAAGACCAGGTGAGGACACATGGAAAGACAGCCATCTACAAGCCAAGGAGAGAGGCCTCGGAAGAAGCTGAACCTGCCAACACCTTGACCTTGAACTTCCAGCCTCCAGAGGAAGTACATTTCTGTTGTGTGAGTCACTTCCTCTTCAGTACCTTGTTTGGGCAGTCAGAGCAAACTAATACATCTTCTCATCTCAGCTCTGGCTCAGCCTTCTTCCCATCGACCAGATCCTGTTCAGCTCGCTCCTCCAGCCCCTATCAGGTCCCTGCTTCTTACCAAAATCCTAATTCACCACACCCCAGTCAGTACTCCCTACCCCCTACCTGCCTGCCATCTTGCCTCTTCTCCCAAGAAGCAAACCCTTAAGCCTTTGGTGAAAACAGTGAGGATGAAGAAAAGAATTCTAGGTGTGGCAGAGATGGTAGAATGAGAGCACCAATGGCAAACTGGAGTCAGACAGGTGACCCGCCTTGACAGGTCTCAGCCCCTGTTCTCTCTGAGTGACCACAGACCCACACCAGTTGTGGCAAGACAGGAAGCCAGGGACCACAGGGCTCAAGATCGCAGAGATACCTGTTCTCCCCTAATCTGGGTGATCTCACTGACTCATAAAAAACACTTCTCTAAATGGTAATCAGTGCCTGATTCGTTTCCTAGACTGGTAACTAGGCTTCTTCTGGGAGGACGGAAGAGCTGAGTCTCAATGAAAGCAAAACCCTTGCATAGTAGCTTCCACCGGAAGGCAGTGAAGGTTTACAGTGGGTTTATACCTTCCCAGTGCTGCTGAAGGGGAAGCAGAGTCTGCCGACTGTGTGTCTAAACCAGCCAGTCTGAGTTGAGCCGACTGTGCCTAGTCGCGTCTAGGCAGACCTTATCTGTGGGCCCTGGGACTCCTGGTTCGATGCCCTTTTCAGGCACAATAAGTACAGCAAAGTGCCAGGCACTGTGTGACATGGGCAACATGTGGCGGTTACTTATAGTCATTAATATTATAGATAAGTTAATATTAATTACATTTATATTAATTGTCTCGAACTTAAGAGTCTTACAATATAGGTATTGTTATAGACACACACACACACACACACACACACACACACACACTTGTTTTTTTAGGAAAAGAAATTGAGACTGAGAGGTTAAATGACTTGCCTAAGGTCACACTGCCCCAATGTGCAAGAATTCGCATTCAAACTCATCCCCCAGGTTCTCTCCACTTTCACCGTGGTGCAAGCGCAGCCTTGGCTGGGTTAGTATCACCAAGTGAGCTTTACCTCGTGGAAGGACGTTCTCGAAGATAGTATTCAGTGTAGTGCAGCCCCAGGTGACAGAGCGTCTGCCAGCTCATCTGGGAGATGAAAGCCCACCTGTGCACATCCCGTGGGCCAAGCCAGGAGATCAGCACCGCAGCCCACAGAGCGGGGATGAGGACAAGCACAGCGAAGGAACCCATGGCCGCCAAGGCCAGGGCGCCCCCTCCAGCCAGGAGAAAGAGGTACCTGAAAGAGAAAGGACAAGTGTGAGACTGACTTGGAACGGTGTAACAAAGGAGTCACACAGATGTCATTCTCAATAACCCAATGGAGGTAAGCCCCATGTATCACCTGAAGAAGCCATACTGTTACCACCCAAAGTTTTCCTTTTGTTTTTCTGAAGGAATGAACCGAGGGAGAAAAAGCCCGAGTCCATTTGCAGATGACTATCTCAGGAGACAACTTTTAAAAAATATTTTATTTATTTATTTATTTATTTGACACAGAGAGAGCATGAGCAGAGGGGAGGAGCAAGGGGTGAGAGAGAAGCAGGCTCCCCGCTGAGCAGAGAGCCCAATGCAGGGCTTGATCCCAGGACGACGGGATCATGACTTGACCTGAGGGCAGAGGCTTAACCGACTGAACCGCCCAGGCGCCCCTCAGATGAATTTTGATTCCTACCTCAGTGATCCTGCGAACCTCTTCCGTCACTCAAGTGGGAACGACACCCCTGACAATCCTGTGGGTGACAGTCCAGAAGGTGTCCTGGTGGGGACAGCTTACAAATCTAGTGGCTTGCTGCCTGAATGAAGGCTTGTAAAGCCGGCGTCAAGGATCTAGGAGAGCTCTCTAGACATCGCCCCATGGAGATGAGCCTCTTTCCTTGTCACTGGGTTGCACTGTCCTGAACCATTCCGGAGACAGTGGGAAAGGGGATTCTGTGCCTCTCTCTGCTAAGTGTTTGAAAACTCGGTTAGAAAATCTTTATATGTGCTCTTAATCCTCTCAACTGCTCTTCCAGATCTTACAAGTTGGTGGGGTTTTTTTCATGTTGTTAAAGGACCCACATGAGTGGTTTGTGGAAACTACCTCCCTTGGAAGCTGGCAGGTGCCCTGAGGATGTGCAGAGACCTGGGAAATTTCACATGATAAGGTCTCAGTTCTTCTTTCCACTTGAACTCATGACCCCACCCTCAAGAGTCCCATGCTCTCCCGAAGGAGTCAGCCAGGTGCCCCTGTTCATTTTAATTGGTGCCAAATTAATAACTCTGAATGGAGAGGTGTGCAAATCGGTATGACTAGTCAGGGATAGGAAAATTGAGTCAAAGCGGTCTGTGTCTTCTCGACCACCAGAGGGTACATATCATGGCTCTGCGGGATCGGGACACACACACACAGGTGAGAATGTCTTTCTTGGGAGAGACTGGTGGACACCCCAGTGTGAGACGCTCTATCATACAAGGCCTGGCCCATTCCTGTGCTTCTCTTTGAGCTAACCCACCCCAGTTAACACTGGGGGCCAAGCCTTTACCTCCCTGCCGCGGAAAAATGAGGGGAACATGTATTCCTCACACAGTGAAGCCTAAGGTGTCATTGAAATGTCTATACACATACAATGCAGGCTACATGATATACTGAGGGCTTATTTTATTCTAGGCATTGTGCTAATAATCCCTGCATTAAAAAGTATCTTTATGGGGCGCCTGGGTGGCTCAGTGGGTTTAAAGCCTCTGCCTTCGGTTCAGGTCATGATCCCAGCGTCTTGGGATCGAGCCCCGGGTCGGGCTCTCTGCTCTGCAGAGAGCCTGCTTCCTCCTCTCTCTGCCTGCCTCCCTGCCTGCTTGTGATCTCTCTCTCTGTCAAATAAATAAATAAAATCTTAAAAAAAAGTATCTTTATTTAATCCTTAAAATAACCCCATGAGATAGGCATTATTATTTCCATTTCATGGATCAACTTGGAGAGAATTTATTCACATACATAAGAACACTCAGGGAGGGAGGGACCCAGGACCCACCAGGCTGTCTCCGAAGCCAGCAACCTTAACCCTGTGGGAATGAACATTTGTTTTTGCACTTGCTTTGCCTTATTATTTGTGATTCTTTATCAAGAGGAAACTTTTTTTTTTCCGTGCCCCCCTTCCTGACCCCCCGTCTCCTAAATGAAGGTAAGGGCCATCCACCAGTTGTGAACGGGTGATAACATACCACAGTTTAGTCAAACTTAGAAAGTCTAACTGACTACTAGATACTGCTGGATTTTATTAAAAATCCTCAATGTATAAAAAATCTTAATTTCTAAAATAAGTGAATTATTAGGAGGTAGCCCTCTAGCAATGGATTTTCATTTTATAAAAGGATATTCCACAAACTTCTTTAAAAACAAGGACTGTGTCAGGGTCCCTGAGTGGCTCACTTGGTTAAGCGTTGGACTCTTGGTTTGGGCTCAGGTCTGATCTCAGGGTTTTGAGATCCAGCCCCACCCCACCCTCCCCTGTGTCAGGCTCTGAGCTCAGCATGGAATCTGCTTGTTTTTCTCTCTCCTTCTCCCTCTGCCTCTCTCCATGCTCAATATTTCCCTTTCTCTCAAATAAATAAAATAAACCTTTAAAACAAACAAAAAACAGGAACTGTCTCTCATGTATAGAACGTACTAGCTAGATCTAAAATAATTTCAATCAACTTGTCAAATCTCTAGTGACGATAATTTTTGAAACCTAGATTGAAATATAGCTAATCTAACATAATTTGTTTTGACTTATTCCATTTCTCTGAGAAACCATACAAAGGCATTTAAAGAATCAGTTATATATTTAACAAAATTTAATTTTATTGAAAATGATAAAATTCCATGAAATGAGGACTTAAACCTACCTGGCATGGGTGGGAAAAGAATCCAGAATGCAGAGATAATTAAACAAAAGTGCAAAAGGGAAAGTCGCCCCTTGATAAAGTGATACAGGATGGAGGAAGACCAGCGGAAGCCAATCCATTGTAAACTGGAACAGACTGTCCTTTCCAGAGTCCTTAAGCGGTGCCTCCCTGTGAGCAAAACCTCAACCAGGCTCTCTTGGATCTTTTTATACGGCTCTGAAAGGACTGGGTGAGTAAAGAGCAAACAGATCACCAGCGAGAAGCAGCATAAAAGTTGGCTTTCTGATAAAAGGGACTGCATTATAGAAACCAAAACACGTTTTGGTGTTCTATTAAGGATGTACGGAAAACATTGCTTTCAGAAGTTCCCCCTTTTGTTTGGTTTACATACTGCACTATTTGCCGTTCCAGTCATCTGACTGTCATATTTTCTTCACTAAGTTAATGAAAAATCTCATTTTCTAGTTGTGGACAGATACCTGGCCAGTTGGGGAAGGCAAGCAAGGAAGGATATGAGAATGAGGAAGCGAGACAGGTTCTCAAAGAGCAGGAAGATTCCTCTTCCCAACCACCGTTGTCCTCCTAATGCTATTTCTTTTTTTTTTTTTTTTTAATAGTACCTATCACCACCTCTTCTATATCTATTCCTCAATTAGTTTACGGTCTGCCCCCTGCCAGAATGTGAGCTCTACAAGGGAGGAACTTTGTTTTGTTTATTGCTGTATCCCCCGCACATAGAACAGTGCCAGACATATGCTGTGTACTCAGTAAATACTGGTTAAACATTAAAATGTCTTAAGGAAGTGAAGTGTAGAGAGGAACATGTAAGGAGAAGCTTTTCTTTGGAGTGTGGACGAGAGCTACAAGAGACACTGCCTAGAAGCAAGAAAAGAACAGGCCATCTCTTTGGTGAGTCCCTATCCTGAGCTCAGAGTATTACAACGATGTGCCTGACTGGCCATTTCCCATCCCCGAAGACATATGCAAGAGCGAGCAGCCTTAAATAAAGGACAGGAGAGTACAGCCTGACACGAAAGCACCTTAAGGGCAAGGACCATCTCTTAGTGAGAGTTCTGCAAAGAAGAAAAGACTGAGAATCTCTTATTAACTGGGGGACTCTGAGCTAAGTCCCATCTTCTCTCTGAGACTGAGCTTGAGCTCCTTGATTAAAAAATTAGATAGAAGGGGCACCTGGGTGCCTCAGTCAAGGTTGGGCGTCTGCCTTCGGCTCAGGTCATGATCCCAGGGTGCTGGGATCCAGCCCCACATCAGGCTCCCTGCTTAGTGGGAAGCCTGCTTCTCCCTCTATGCCCCTCCCCTTGCTTGTGCTCTCTCTCTCTCAAATAAATAAATAAATAAATAAAATCTTTAAAAAATTAGATACAATAATGTTTGTCTCAACAGAATCGTTATGATTAAAGTATGTAAAATCATGGAGTCTAAAGCTGCTTGATGAATGTAGTTGAAAGTAAAACAGTTGGAGAACAACAAAAATTATTGCTTTTAATAGCATTATTGGGCTACTATTTTATGACAGACTGGTGCCAAGACCAGGAATATAAAGATGAGTATGACATGGCCTCTGCCTTCAATCAGCTCTCAATCTACTAGGGTGATGGAAATGGCAACGAATACTTTCATCAGAGAATGACAGGTGCAGTGTACCGTGGGTATCCTGTAGTGGGTAAGTAAAGAAGCAATTAGGGGCGCGTGGGTGGCTGAGTCATCAAACATCTGCCTTTGGCTCAGGCTCTGATCCCAAGGTCCTGGGATCAAGCCCTGCATCACGCTCCCTGCTTGGTGGGAAGCCCGCTTCTCCCTCTCCCACTCTTCCTGCTTGTGTTCCCTCTCTGTCAAATAAATAAATAAAATCTTTAAAAAAAATAAAGCAATTATCTGCGGAGATAGGAAATTTTTAAAAAGCAAAAGAAATGGAAATGCTTAAATTGGTTCTGGAAAGGCCACAGGTGGCACAAAGATCTAGATGAACAGTAGAACAATGACTAAGCTTACACAATATGGAACATATTACAATGTAATCAGATCCCTCATTAAGTTTAACTGTTAGGTATAGAGGAATTGAGTTGCAGTTAATTTGTTAGTAAAAAAGTTATGCTTTTTGTCTTTGAATTAAATATTTATTAATTCCTACTTATACTTTTATATTTGTGTTTTGGAATCAGTACATTTTTAAAAAAGATTTTATTTATTTATTTGACACAGAGAGATCACAAGTAGGCAGAGAGGCAGGCAGAAAGAGAGGAGGAAGCAGGCTCCCTGCTGAGCAGAGAGCCCGATGTGGGGCTGGATCCCAGGACCCTGAGATATGATCTGAACCGAAGGCAGAGGTTTAACCCACATCTGAGACTTAAACCCTCATGGGGGGCAGGGTGGGGAGCGGGGCAGGTGGAAGCCATCTGGGGCAGAGAGTCAGCTTGGCTTCATGGAGGATGAAAGTGTGATCAGAGAAAGAGGAAGAGGAGCATGACAATAGGGAAGAGAGAAGTAGGCCGGGGCTGGATCTAACCCAGAGGTAGGCGATGGAAAAGAATTTGGATTTTATAAAGAATGGGAAGTGAAATAACTGGATTGGTTTTTACAGAGTGACATTTGGCTACAGGAGAATGGCTTGGATGGGGGCTGGAGGGTGGGGATGGGGATGTGACGGGGGTGGAGGGAGCGGACTGCCCGGAAGAGCTGGCTGTTTAGAGAGGTGGCAGGGTCTTGCCTATGCATTCTGTGCAGGGAGGTGAGGAAAGCCTAGGCTGCCTACTGAGTTTCTAGCTTGAGCATCTAGGTGAATGGTGGATCCCTTCACTGAGATGGAGATCAGAGAACCAACTGAGGGCGTAATTCAAAAGCTCTGTTCTATACGTTTTAGGTTTGATAGAACTTTGAGGCATCCAAGTGGAGATGCCAAGTACAATGAAGTAACCAGATGGGAAGCTCGGCAAAGAGGACAGAACTAGAGGTATCAACCCGAGAAAGCCGGCAGGTAGGAAGGTATTAACCTATGGGAATGCTGAGATCGCCCAGGAAGAGGTGAGCTCACACAAGAGAAAAGGGCGCAGGGGCCTGGCCGGAATCTTAAGCAGCAAGAAGCAGACCGAAAAAGAACGGTGGCCTATGATGAGGTCGACAGGATGTGTGCCGGGTTGGACCAGGTCGCTGTTTTAAATCCAAGTCTATCCATCCCAGGGCAGCGCTATCAGCCAGAGCCCACGCAGGGTTGCCTTGTACCAGCCGCCACAGCCAGGGGGAGGAGAAACCTCCATCCCAGCAAGCCCCGCCCCGCCCGATCCTGCCAGGCGCTCCAATCGCTTGTAGAGATCATCGCTGGACCCAGGAGGTTGTGTCGATCTCCGCTCCAACTGGAGACCGGGTCCAAACCATGGCGGAGAAGACTCAAAAGAGGTGAGTCCGCTGTTTGAAAAAGCCTATTTCTACACTCCGCAGGCGCGGCAAATCTGCTTCTGGTCGCCAGTGGCAGGGGCTGAGATGGTGTCTTCTCCCGGGCGCTCGGCCGGGCTGGTTGTTAAAGCCCAGAGCTGGCGGCCGCTGAGGGAGGAGGCGACGAAGGGAGTGTCAGGGAGGATGGGGAAGGGACGTGGAATCGGTGCCAGGAAGGTTTTTGTTCTTCGGTCCCGTCGCCCTCCTCCGCAACGCGCCGGCGCAGAGAGGGTCTCCGGAGGCTTTGTGCGGGGAGCCTGTCGTCGCCCACTGCCCCGGGACACAGAGGGACGCCCCCGCCCCCCCAAATCCTGCCCCGTTTGGTGCGCCTCCCATGGTTGGCGGCCTGTAACAGCATCCTCCTCCGGGCGTTCCGAGACGGCCGCGGAAGTGCCGGCCACACCCCAGTCCCCTCCTGCCCAGTCAGGGGCGGTGTGTGTTGTGTCAGCGCGTCGCCGTCGCTCGTCCAAAGGGGGGCCGCGCCTGGCCCGGAGCTGCCTGGATAAGCTCCTTCGCAAATCCGTGAGGACAGCGATGGGCTTTCTCCAGCAGTCCTCACTGCTGGAAACGGGTGGTGGCAGAGACGGGCTGGATGGGAGAAGGACTTACTCCGAAAGCAGCCGCGTTGAGCACCCTCTACTGACTCTTCCTTGAACAGGAAAACCGATTCCGTCGTAATAAATGAAAATTTAGGGTTTTCTTCTCTTGAGGCAGTTATTTTAGTAGGTCCTCGGCTAAGCCTTTTCCTTCCAGCCGTCTGAGTCCGCCCTCTCCACCCCCCCCCGCACCGGCCACATCACTCCGAAGTGCAGTGGAGTGTACACGGAGATGTTTGGACTGTGTTTGAGTTGGTCTAGTCGTGAATTTAATTATTTTAGGCCTCAGAAGTATGCTGATCGGGACACAAACTCGACCTTGGTCCTCTCCCTTAGGCATAAGACTGGACAGAGGGACACTTGGGAATCGCTCCTCTCCTCACTTGTCTAGGACAAGTTAAGTGTTAGCTAATGCCCTTTTCCTAAAAAATCATACTGAGAGGGAGGCTGAGGAAATGGAAACCAGGAAATAAGGTCTAAAACAAGAGGCATTTTAGAAAGCCTGGTTTATTTGACCAGGGCCTAATAAATTGCATTATTTTAACACACCCGCCACTCTAAATGAAAAGCATCAGAGGAATAGCACTTAGGAAAGGTGATGTATTCAAGACAGCATCATTCTGCTCTCACAGGAAAAATACCCAACATGTCAGGATGTTTCCAGGAAACTTTTCAAACAGAAAAGACATGTTGGTGTTCGGATAATGATGCCTCAGGGACCAGCTGCTTCGGGAAATTTCTAATCTCTTGGCTTCAGTTTCCTCATCTATAAAATGAGAGGGTTCGGCTATTTCTGCTTTCTGTTCCATGGTACTCAAGTTTTTCATGCACTGGGTAGAAAGGTTATATTTTTTCTGGGACTTCAGTAAACACATAACCCAGATTCATCATTTCTAGAATTTCATTAACTTGTGCTTTGTAGAAAGTCGCTGTATGTCAAAATGATGGAAACAGATGTAGCTGTGTCTGATCTCACAAATATTTCTTGAAGATAGACTCAGGGATTATCAGTTTGGGTTTGGTTCTTTTAGAGTTTTAAAAATACTTGGTGGTAGGAGAAAAAATTGTGTATG